AGTATTATACAGGGTGGGCGATTTGTAACTGACTGGTTTGTATCTTGAATATTTGTGAAATGAAATAAGATACGTCCATTTTTTTCATCTTAATCTTTTGTTGAAACTTAGAAATTATGCATAACAAATAATATCAGACAAATGTCCGCCTCTGGACGCCGCGCAAGCCTGAGCCCTTTTGATTACATTTTCCATGACTTTTTCGTAGGTTTCGGGAGGAATATTTTCAATCGCTGCCGTAATATTGTTGTTCAGCTGCTGAACAGTATCTGGTTTGTTGGTATAGACCCTATTTTTAAAAAATCGACATAAAGAAGCCAGGAGCCGTTAAATCCGGTGACCTTGGTGACCAGTTGACATCACCAAATCGAGAAATTAACGTTTCGGAAGACTCATTGTTTCCTTAGATGTGTGACAAGTTGCTGGAACCACATGTTTTGCAGGTTAAATTGTTGGATATGAGTTTTGCACCATATATCATGGTCACTAGGCTGTAGTTCTTGGGTTAATTGAATTTTGTATGGCCGCAAATGCAAGTCTTTTTTTAAAATATTGCATAACGTGCGACGAATTCCCAGTTCTTGAGAACGATGTCTGGTAGACGTCTCAGGGCGCCCCACTACACGTTCACGAACTCTCTCGATATTTTCCGTAGTACGAACAGTTCGACCTGGGCACATTATGTCGTAGCCGAATCGTTGCATTAATCGACTCATTATTTGAGTAAAATGTTTAAACAATACGGGCGCATTGTGGGATCGTGTAGCGCTCCATGATGAATGGGCACATGTGCTTCAAACAACCACTACGGCGCCGCCACCTGCTGAAGTGCGTGTATCAAAAATGGCGCGCAATTTAAATTAATCAGTTGCCAGATGGTTGATACTTAGAACAGGGAAGAAACTAGTAATATGGTTATCAAATCGATAGGGCCTATGTAGTATGTACTAATTGTATATGGGCCTATTTGACTGACTTGGTCCTTTAAATTTTTTTGTTTTATACATGTTTGTAACTAGTTATAAGGGACTAACTTGTGCCAAGCATAATCCTGTACGAACTGATGACAGCGTTGCGTGGGAAGTGCATGGTTAATCCAATTGACGCCATTTTTTTGCTATTTAATCGAGGCACCGGCAGTGTATGTAAACCAAACATTTATTTAACAATCGGTTCAAAAAAAAATGATACACTCGTACCGCAATATCGCACTTGTCGATATAATTTAATTTATAGTGAGTGTCTTCAAATGCTACAGAGCTTCGCGAATGTACGCAGATCGCTTTCGCAGACGTTATCGTGTAGGGCCACGCGATTTGATTTCTTGTGCAAAGAGCTAGGGATACAGGTCGTTTGCAGGAATATCGAGGGGAACATTGGAAAATCTAGACAATCCCGAATGGTGAAAACTGAGGAATCTGTAAAAGAAAATCCTTCAACAAGCTATAGCGTTATCAACTGGATCAATTAAATATGGTCCTGTTGGCTGACTTGACTCACTCGATTTTTTTTCACCTGTTTTTAACTAGCTGATTGGGACTAAAGGGCCGAACTACTACGGCGCCACCTACTGAAGTGCGTGTATCAAAAATGGTGCGCTATTCAAATCAATTTGGTATTTAGAGCAGGGAAGAAAACTAGTAATAGGGTTATCAAATCGATAGGGACTATGTAGTATGTATTAATTGTATATGGGCCTATTTGCCTGACTTGGTCCTTTCAATTTTTCTGTTATACATGTTTGTAACTAGTTATAAGGGACTAACTTGTGAGAAGCATAATCCTTTACGAACTGATAACAGCGTTGCGTGGGAAGTGCATGGTTAATCCAATTGACGCCATTTTTGCTATTTAACCCAGGCACCGGCAATGTATGTAAACCAAACATTTATTTACCAATCGGTTAAAAAAAAAATGATACACTCGTACCGCAATATCGCACTTGTCGATATAATATTAATTTATAGTGAGTGTCTTCAAAATGCTACAGAGGCTTCGCGAATGTACGCGGATCGCTTTCGCAGACGTAATCATTTGGGGCCACGCAGATTTGATTTCCTTGTACAAAGAGCTAGGGATACAGGTCGTCTGCAGGAATATCGAGGGGAACATTGGGAAATCTAGACAACCCCGTATGGTGAAAACTGAGGAATCTGTAGAAGAAAATCCTTCAACAAGCGATAGAGTTACCAACTGGATCAATTGTATATGGACTTGACTTGCTCGATTTATTGTTACACCTGTTTTTAACTAGCTGATTAGGACTAAATGAACTGATTGCAGCATTATCTGGAAAGTGCAGAGTCAACCTGATTTTTAATTAGTCGAATTGGCGTCTGGGTCGCAAATTTTGCTTGCCGCGTATCAATAGTAAGATCGGGCCTGAGAGAGACGTCAATTTAATTATGGATCGTTTTACGACCAAAATCCCGGACTTTCAGTGCCTATAAAACCCTGGAATAAGTATATGTCCGGTAAAAACCACAACTAAAAATAGCTTTGCAAACCGTCATTCGTCTTGGCAAACCTAGCAAAGTGAAGTATCTCTAAGAATAAAGTACGTTTTAATTACTGCCATGTTTCAAATACCACTCGACCTCGGCTTTGCTCTGCTAATGAAAACGAATTTTTGCGTATTCTTTACAATTAGGAAGACAAAGGAGACGTGTGCTATATTTTACTTAGACTAGATTACATAAGACTTTTAACAATGAAATCTTTTTTTTAAGATCCTTTTGTGATAATGCTTTACCATTAAAAAATGAACATCAGACAAACTGAATCATTGTTCCAGCTAGCAAAGGACCTGCACGAATCACATAAAAAGTCAGTCGATTTAGTATAATTTTGCACCATCCTGAACAAAAGTTGACACGAGACCAAAGTAGTTCTATGACTATTTTCTGAGGAATTATGGGTGAAGTTTGCAAATTTGCAAAAATGGCAAAAATATATATAATATATATTTATATAGTGGATACCAAATAAAACCCGATGCACGTCATCGATCTGGAACTGTGCGCTGTTGCCAGAATTTGCACATTTTCTTTTAAGCAAATAAATTTAATAAAATAAATTGTTTATATATACCTACCATTTACTATAATACCATTATATTAAAATAAATAAACTTGTTGTAAAATTAAATTCCTTTCTGAATAAAAACACCTGATTTTGGTAGATATTCAATGATATGAGCTCTTTACACCTACTGTTAAGTTGTTTTGGCATTTTGGATACTTTACACCACTTCACAGTAACTGTTGTCCTGAAAAGAACAATTTTTAATTGGCAAGGCAACGATTCAAAGCTCAAATAGCGCAAAACTCACAAACTAAACAATAAAGAACTAATAGTACGACAAAAGGACAATGGCAACTGATGTCAACAAATGAGAAGTGGCAACCTCACATTTCTCTGCACGGCACTACCAACCGAATCGAGACGGGGAAATTTAAACTTCAAGTAGAAATGTCACATTGAATGTAGTCAACTGTTGGTAACCATGATTTTTATGAATGACATCACCTATGACGTGCATCGGATTTTATTTGGTATCCACTATACAGTCATCATCCAATAGAAAACGATTAATTGTTTTTTCAAATAAAGTCACAGACAAAGTCCTGTATGATATTGGTACCTTTTTATACAATCGAGCGACATTTAAAGACAAAAAAAACATTTGAAAAACGTTCTTAAGAACCAACCCGCCTGTAGTCGCGCCGGGTCTGGCTGACCCATATGCTTCTAAAACCTACCACTGCGTATATGTGACAACACTGCCCGATGTCTCCTTCCTTGTTAGTGTCAGCGCAGCCGCAAAGCTGATTGTGTTGTTTCATAGTTTCAGACCCGGCGCGACTGAATACCGATTTCTCACAATGTCAAGACTCTTATGGGGAGAAAATAGGTTCTGAAAATGCAGCAGTTAATTTGTCATTATTTATTGAGGCAATGTTTCTTATTGATCGTTATCTTTGCGTTCAATGTTTTATTTTACTGTTTTCTTTTTTTGACTGCTTTTAGTTTGACCTTTTGATGTATACTAAGTGACATAAATCCGAACACCCAGTTTAAATGGTTTAATTTTAATAAAAGTTGGTGAATGATTTATCTTACTGTAAATAACAAGTGAAAAAATTTTCAGCCTTATCAGTTGGACATTCCGGTTTTTATACTGCTTTTTTTTAATTCACTAACGCTCTAAAAATGAATATTTCAGCCGCAGTAAAGAATCAACGTTGGCGGATTTTGGTTCTTGACATCCTTTACGATCGGTTACGATGCCTAGAGAACGGAGACCTGTACGATTTCGTCAAGTTAGTGAGTTTGATAGGGGCCGTATAGTGGGACTTCGGGAAGCTGAACTTTCTTTTCGGGCAATTGCAGTTAGAGTGCAAAGAAGTGTAGACACTGTGGTTAGGTGTTGTCAGGCATGGCTTCGAGAAGGCCGTATGCAAAGAGCAAGGGCACTGGACTCCGCCGTAGAACAAGAGACCGTGAAGATCGCCGCCTAAGATTATTGGCCTTAAGGGACCGTTTCTCCACTATCAGGTCCATGGTTTGCAGAACACGGAAGACCTATTGGCATGCGAAGTGTTTACCGACGAATGAGAAGTTTTGGCTTGTTTTCATACCGGCCACACTGGGTCCTCCCTTTAACTCGAGAACACCGACGTAATCGCCTTGAGTGGTGCAGACAACGGTCACTCTGGGATCAGGAATGGAACAGTATTGTCGTTAGTGACGAGTCTCGATTTTGTTTAGGCATGCACGATGGTCGTACCAGGGTTAGAAGGCCACGTGGTGAAAGGAGAAATCCACACTTTTTTGTTGAAAGACATGTTCATCACACTGTTGGTGTTATGGTTTGGGCTGCTATAGCTTATGGTTCCAGATCACCTTTAATCTTCATCAGAGGTAACATGAACGCACAGCGTTATATCCACGAAGTTCTAGAACCCCATCTTTTACCCTATCTTGACACCCTGGCAGATCCAACTTTCCAACAAGATAATGCCCGACCACATGTTGCAAGAGTCACAATAGGCTTCTTTCAACATAATGATGTCACATTGTTACCATGGCCACCAAGATCTCCCGACTTATCCCCAATTGAGCACGTGTGGGATATGATTGGTAGGAGATTGCTCAATTTGCAACGTCCTCCTCAGACTCTAGAAGCACTTCGAGAGGAGTTGGTGGTTGCCTGGAATGAGATACCACAGGAGGACATTGACCACCTGATCAGAAGCATGCCTAGGTGCGTTGGAGAATGCGTAGCACATCAGGGTGCATCCACACATTATTAAAGGTCAAAGGGCTTTAAAGCAGTGCAATCATTTTGAAATTTTTATCATTTACTTATTATGCTTCATTAAGTACTTATACAAAATTTTATTAAAATAAAACCATTTAAACTGGGTGTTCGGATTTATATGCCACTTAGTATAAATCTATCAAGAGGTATACATAAACGCATTTCATTTCGGCGATGTTTCATTTTTGAAAGTATGAGTTGACATATGTCAAACAATATACTGGTTCATGCGTTATTCTAGGCAAACGACTTTTTTATACCAAAGAAGACGGAAAGTTCGCCAACAAAACCAGGGCGCGACCACAGGAGGGTTAAATATCTGTAACGCTGAGAGTGCGGACGTCTGTTCTGTAGCGAATTTTTAATACAGATAAGCAGGAGCTTGTTTGGTGATAATTTTATGAAACTTTCAAACTGAATGCAGGATCCCTACATATTTAATTCCTAACAGTTGTAGGCTGCAGTAGTGTTAAAACGCACGCATGCATTTTGACGTTTTTCTATTGCTATGTGAGGATACGTCTACTATTATGTAAGATTTTAAGGTTACCGTATCCTCTTTTTAACATAGATAAGACATGCTCCGAGAACCTGAGTGAATTGTAGATTTAAATTTGGCAAAACCTTACGCACACGTGATTTTTTCTACATGCTTTCCTCACTTTTTTGATATAACCTTTTTTGTTTGGTTTTTGAAATGTCGCACGTTTTACCCTTCTGTGGATTAAAGTATATTTATTTACTTATTCTATATTATTATTTTTGTTATATTATACTACAACTCAATTTTTAGACAAATCGAAAAATGTAAGAAAATATTAGTAATATTTTTCATTTGCACCAACGAATGCGTGTTCAAAATTTAGCAGCAGGTTGTGAACTTGTTCTCTGATGACTCTTATCGTGATTTATTTAAACAAAACTTGTGAAACTGCATTATTTTTTTCGGGAATATTCTGTCAATGGTATACATTACAAACTGTTTTTTTTTAAATCCGATTTCTTGTTGTTTCAGCATATGGCCAATGCGATTTTGCTGGTGACAGCCAACATTCTGGGACTGACTTCCTATTTAGTGGAAGACAAACAACAAAGGAAGGCGTTCCTTGAGACTAGACAATCCTTAGAAGTAAAATTGGTTATAGAGGAACAAACGGCAGAACAGGTAACCTGACAGAAGCAATTGATTAACGTATTCTACCTCAAGACAGCCAAACATGTACTGTAATTAGGCTTCCACAGACAAATCTGAAAGATACTAGAGCCATCTGTGATACATTAGCAGAACCAAACAGTCTCCTTGAGAGGGACATGCGCCGTTTCTTGCTCATCAGCAACTCATCAGTGCGGTATAGGTATAAGTTTAGTGGTCAATTTTGGTGGTGCGACATATAAATGTGCATTACGCAGAGCATCGAACAGTTATGGAGCCGGTAGCGTAGGAATCTTCCGTTACCTTTCAACGTGTGGGATGAGGATGAATATCCACTTGGCAAACAATTGGTGGGTGGAGATCGTCAGAATTTTCGCCTACTTTCACACAGTCAAACTCTTTCCAAAGTAATGGGTGATTTTTTTGCTAGTATCTTTTTGGCAACACTGTTTTTGACTGATGACGCGTGAATCGTGTCTTGTGTCATTGTCAAACTTATCCAGTTTCGTCTATAATTTAACCATGAAGCGACTTACGAACGAACAACGCTTGCAAATTATTGAATTTTACTATCAAAATTCATGATCGGTTAAGAGAGTGCATCGAGCACTGCTTAAAATTTATGGGCAATTTGGTTGGCCTGCTGAGGGAGCTATTCGGAAGCTTGTGACTAAATTTCGAACCCAGTTTACATTTTATTGGACATTAAACCACCAACACGCAGACGTAGAGTGAGGACTGAAGAAAATATTGCGGCTGTATCCGCCAGTGTTAGTGATGACCGTGAAATGTCGATTCACCGCCGTTCGCAACAATTGGGCCTCTGTTACTCCACTACGTGGAAAATTTTGCGACAGGATTTGGATGTAAAACCTTATAAGATACAGCTGGTGCAAGAATTGAAGCCACACGACCTCCCACAATGTTTCCAATTTGGTGAATGGGCGCTGGCAAAGATGGAGGAAGATCCACATTTTTATCGAAAAATTGTGTACAGCGACGAAGCTCATTTCTGGTTGAATGGGTACGTTAACAAGCAAAATTGCCGCATCTGGAGTGAAGACCTGCCAGAAGCATTGCAAGAGCTACCAATGCATCCCGAAAAAGTCACTGTTTGGTGTGGATTATGGGCCGGTGGCATCATCGGGCCGTACTTCTTCAAAGACGACAATGGCCGGAACGTAACGGTGAATGGCGAGCGCTACCGTGCGATGATAACAAACTTTTTGTTGCGCAAAATGGAAGAGCTGGACTTGGCTGACATGTGGTTTCAACAAGACGGTGCCACATGCCACACCGCACACGAAATAATGGCCCTATTGAGAGGCGAGTTCGGTGAACAGTTTATCTCACGTGTGGGGCCCGTCCATTGGCCGCCTAGATCTTGTGATTTAACGCCGTTGGACTATTTCTTGTGGGGCCATGTGAAGGCTAATGTCTACAGGGATAAACCAGCAACGATTGACGCACTGGAAGCCAATATTGAAGCATTTATTCGTGAGATACCGGCCGATATGTTGGAGAGAGTGTGCCAAAATTGGACCTTGCGCATGGGCCATCTAAAGCGGAGCCGCAGACAACATTCACATGAAATAATCTTTAAACATTAAATTATATCGACCGTTCTATCGACTCAGATAAAGATTTAATCGTTTTTTCAAATTTTTTGTGTTTTTTTTTTAAATCAAATCCTATACCTCTTAAAAAATCACCCGTTATATTTCTAAATTAATTTTTGCATTCTGCTACTGTCTCCTAGATGGCGCTGATATCTTCCAGATCCCTTTTTGGACGCCGAGGTATATGGTTGGCCGTCTTCGATAGTATGCGTCAACAAATGATAAAAGACATTTTTCATTACTGTATTTTCGTTTATTTTTTGTTTGTAGGAACGCCTATTGCTTTCTGTTCTACCGGAACATGTAGCTGTACAAATGAGGCAAGATCTGGTAGAATCTACCGATAGCCAGTTTAAGAAAATTTACATGAGCCGCCACGAGAATGTTAGGTGAATATTTCAGTTTATATTCAATATTAATATCATACCAGAAAAATACGATCCAATGTATCTCCGAATAATCTCTTTTTGTTGTACTGCTGTACTTGTACTTGTGTTGTACTTGCCCTTGAGACGGCGAAGTAAAACATTTAAGACCACACTATTGTGTCTTAGACTATTTTCTCACAAGCCAAACAACATGGTTTTCTTTAGATATCGAAGTACTATTTCTCGCATTTCAGATCCATGAACAATGCACAGCGTTAGTAGTTGAATATTGCATAACAGTTAGCCGGTATGTTGCGATAATAGTTTGTGTCGGAAGGGGTCACAGTATTCATATTTAGGAAGGTGTTTGTCTCCGGTGGGATATTATGTAAAAAATCTAAAAAAGTAAAAAAATGACGAAATGACATTTGCAGACTACGTAGGTTTTAAGAGTACAAATATACTCAGTGACAATTAATAAGAAAAATAAAATAATGTGTTGAGCAACCCCTCAGCTGAATACACTCCTGTATATATACTTATATAAGAAGGCCTGCACTCGTTGTACATGGTAGGGATAAAGCAAATTTTCCCGTAGGATTCTATGGACTATGGTATGCGATAGTCCTACGCGGCGGCCTAATTCTTGAGTGCGAATATTAATTTGGTACACTTCTGCCTGGGTGTACCCGTTGGCGAAATAAATAAGCGATAAATTTGAGCTACAAGATTTAAATTCTGACGTAAACTAACAACATGTCGGCGAACTCTTGATTCGAGAACATTGTAAATAAACACGACGACGTACGCGAACAATAACTAACCACTGTTACCGTTTGCGATCGATTGCCTGTTCGATAAGAGTGATGAATGACCGACGCGCTGTTGTCATGTGTGTTTTAAATATTTAATTTAATGAAACTTACTTACTTACTAACTACAAATTTTGGCTTAACTTAGAAAAACACTTAATGCCATTTATTTGTTAATTACCCAATTTAAAGCGTTTTAGATTAGATTATAAAAATTAGTAAGATTGTGGTGATTGTGGTCGATATGAAACACTTAAAGTTGTAAGCTATAAAGCCATTTAGACAAAAATCTGTTGGCTTTTGGACCATGGGTTGTATGAACTTTTTGACTTGTTTTGACGCCCCCCTATTACCTATTTTAATAATGACTACCAAAACGTTTACACCCTGTATTTGCAAAAGGTCTTTGTTTCATTAAATTTATCGAAGAGATTCAAAAGACCTAAATATTACTGGTCAAACTGTATACGCCCAAGGAGGTCGTGGATCCGTGCTTGCATATACAATATGAAGCTCTTAGTACCTTGCAATTTTCAATTCTAACTAGGTCCTTTGGAATGCTCCTGATATCACAACTTATGTGTGTTATAAGTTTGGAAAGTTTTTAACCTGCCGCATTAGGAATATACAAGACACTGATTATATCTATGTTTTAGTATATTATATGCTGATATCGTGGGATTTACGGCTATTTCGTCAACGTATTCAGCTCAAGAGCTGGTGAAAATGCTGAATGAGCTGTTTGCAAGATTCGATAGACTTGCAGAGGTAAGTTGAATCAACATGATGGGATCTTATGTAGTGTTATCGACATCTCCACCCATGATGAGATAATAAATATTAACGATAATTATCGCTTTATTTAGATGCATCGAAGGTATCTACTTTGTTCATATTATGAAAAGTGGCAAGGGCAAGGATTCCGCGTCTAGTTATTATTGGTTTTTATATATAAATCATAAGTTCTAGTAGACTTTCTATATCGTTCATAATCTTTATTAGAACAGAAACATGTGACTTTTCGAACACTACTTTTTCTAGAAGTTAAAACTAGGCGGTTAGATTGAAACACCCGTAATTAAATTTTTGGTCTCTTTTTCAGAAATACCATCAGCTGCGAATAAAAATACTAGGAGACTGCTATTACTGCATTAGTGGTGCTCCAAAAGAGAGACCTGACCATGCAGTATTATGTGTTCATATGGGGTTATCAATGGTAAAAGCAATCAAGTAAGTTCTCAAGGCTTTTTATAAAATTGATTCCCAGTAGTCTAAAGTGCGATCATCTAATCTATCTGTTTTTAATTGTGAAAGATCAAGGAAAATGTATTGGATTTTTTATTGACCATCAACTACAATAAAACATATTACAATGCCTTTTGTAACCACACAAAGCACTAAGTTGCCTGAATATCAAGCTCTAACCATCAGCAAAACTAAAAATCAAACAATTAAAATTTCACGGAAACAACATATAAAATACCTTGGCATTTTTTTTTTTCGATAATTGATTTTACTAGAATATACACATAGGCTAAGAAATCAAGATTCCTACTGTAAAAGTTTGATTACTTTAAGAACTTAACAAAAAACAAATGATTGCACTCTATCATACTTTAGTAAAGTGACATTTTTTTTTTTTATATCGAAACACCGCGGCTGCTATGATGATCCCAAAGAAATTTTGTTAATACGATTTTTGAACTGCCTAAGGTTAGTAGAACTGGGAAAAGCTTCCTCCCGTAGTTTGTTCCACAATCTAGACACCCTCGGGACAAAGGAGCGGTCGTATCGGCCAGTTCTGTATGTACGAAGTTTGACACGGTTAGGATGGGACGCCGAAGTCAGGCGGGTCTGTCTGGCAGGCACATCGCGCGGCGGCATCATGGAAGAGAGCTCTGAGGAGCAAAGCCCGTTGGTGTAGCGATAGAAAAGAGCTAGATCGCCGACGGCCCGCCGGTGCGAAAGAGTCCCGAGACTGTCTGTTAGAGAAGAGTCATCGATCAGTCGGACCGCCCTCCTCTGGACAGCATCGAGCATAGACAATGTAGTCGGGGCGGCAGCACCCCAAATGTGTGAGCAATACTCGAGGCTAGGCCTTATCTGGGCCTTGTATAGAGTGAGAAGGTCATGCGGAGAAAAGTACTTCTTAGCCCTAAACAAATAGCCTAGCTTTTTCCCAGCAGCTGCAGCTATTGAAGAGATGTGTTCGTGCCAGATCAGGTCCTCGGTGATCTGGACTCCGACCAGCCGAAATGAATGGCTCTTTGGTAGAACTCGACCGTCCATCGAAACTGTATGAGCGCTAGGACACTTTTTGTTCGTCAAAGTACAGTACTGTGTTTTGGAAGCATTGAACTGTACAAGATTGTTGCGTCCCCAAGCAGTGATAGCCTCCAGGTCTCTTGTAAGAGAAGAAGTCGTCGCTAGTCTTCTTTTTTCCAGCTCAGCGGCAGAGATCGGCTTGTCACTCCGAATTCCTGCATGTAGAGTGCTGTCATCAGCGAAGCTGTGGATTGGGTTGATCGTGCAGGAAAGGAGGTCGTTGATATGTAAGAGAAACAGTGTTGGAGCCAAGACCGATCCCTGGGGAACACCCGCGTTGACGTTGTGGGATGAAGAGGAGAATCCGTCAATTACGACGGATATCTTGCGGCCAGAGATAAAGTCAGCCACCCATCTGCAAAGCTTTTCTGGGAGGCCGTAGGATGGAAGTTTGCTCAAGAGGGCAGCGTGCCACAGCTGATCGAACGCTTTCGTGATGTCAAGAGCAACGACATGAGCCTCACCATGAGACTGGATGAGTTTACTCCACAGTTGCGTGACGTAAGCTAGGAGGTCCCCTGTGGATCGTTGGTGCCGGAAACCGTACTGCCTGTCGCTAATCAAGCTGTGACATTCGAGGTAGTCCAGAAGCTCGCGATTTATGCACCTCTCCATCACTTTACTGATAACAGAAAGCAGAGCTATAGGCCTGTAGTTGTAAGGGTCGGTTTTAGATCCTTTTTTTGGGATGGGCTGTACATGAGCAAATTTCCAGTTTTCTGGGAAGGTGCCGGATTCATAAGATATCTGGAAGAGACGCGAAAGAACTGGAGCAAGCTCAGCTGCACATCTCTTCAGTACAATGGCAGGAATCAAGTCCGGACCAGAAGCTTTGTTGATGTCGAGCGACAAGAGCACTCGTCTTACGGTCTTATGCCTGAATGTTACCTCCCGCATAATGTGGGGAACCCTTTGAATTGACGGCACTTGGGCGTTGGTGGGGACGTCCATGGTGGAGTTGGCAGCAAAGATCTTGGCTAGCACTTCCGCCTTGGCCTTTGAGTCGAATACAATAGTTCCATCCTGACACGTAAGTGGTGGAAGGCTACTGTGTGAGAAGTTCTTTTCAATCTGCTTGGCCAGCGTCCAGAAAGACCGACTGCCATTGCGCTGCGTCATTACCCTGTGCCTAACTTTTATATCATGCTGGGTTTTGGCATTGCGAACCGCTTCGTTATATTTGTTTCTGGACTCGACGTCGGCTTGTCTGTTCTCTACAGTGGGGTTTTGTAGGTAGGTTCTGTGGGCCTTGATCTTCTGCTGGCGAGCAGTGTCACACGATTTGTTGAACCAGCCGTTGGACCCTGGTTAGGAACTTTCACTGTGTGAGGGATGTATTCCTCCATTCCGACGTGGATAATTTCGGTTATTGAAGAACAGACAGTCGACGCATCCGCGTCAGTGAAACAGACATCTCTCCAAGGAAAGCTAGGGAAGAAGTCTCTGAGCCCCTCCCAGTCGGCATGTCCGTAATGCCAAGTTTTGCGGCCTGTGCGAGTTTCTGCGGCCACAGCGGCTTCTGACCGAAACCTAGCCTCCACAACACCGTGATCTGAGTTACCCAGGGGGGACAGGACGGCAGTGCTGTAAGGGGCAGGATGCGTGGTCAGAAAGAGATCCAGCAGGCTACTGGCGTGTGACGAGATGCGGGGGAAAAAGTAGGGCTCGTCACCAGCTGGGTCAGCCCTTGAGTAAGAGCGAACGCTTCGACTGCACGACCTGCTGCATCGGTCTTATTTGAGCCCAACCAAAGCTCATTATGGGCATTGAAATCACCGAGAAGAACTACCTCTGAAGCGGGGTGATTGATGTTCAGGAAGTCGATCTGGACGGCGAGGTATTCGAGTAGGTCATCCCAGTTATGGTTCGAGGGAGAGCGATAAAGGCAGCAAATAAATTTGGGTGATGTTTTGGAGTTGAGGCGAAGCCACAGAATGTCCTTCCGGTCTGATTCCAAAGAAAGATCCCTGGAGCAGGAAAGCCTGCTGCGGACAAAAGCCACAACTCCCCCGTTCTTTCTCAGATTGGAGTGCACCTCGTAGTTTGGGAAGTTGAGATGGTTAATCGGTGCAGCCTCTGAGATTTTTGTCTCCGCCAAGAAAAGCACGGCGGGACGATTGGATTGCAGGTAGTGATGAACAGCATCAATGTTGCTGTTGATCCCGCAGATGTTCGAAAAACAAATTTTATCTTCGATGTTGTTCCCTCGAGCCCACCCTCCACCCGGACATTCCGAGAGTGGAGTGAGTTTACGTCCGGAGAGAGAGAGAGAGAAATTAAAATTCGAAAAAGTAACAAATAAAATAGAAGCTGAGGTGTGTAAGTTTTTTTAGATACAAAATTCAGCACTCCAAATTCCAAAATGGCGGATTGAGGGGTTGCCGAATTGGACGGTTTTCTGGACAAAACACCTCACATCTCAGTAGCTAATTACCAAAACCCCATAGTAAGTTATATCAATCTTCTTCTTTTGAAGTGGTTTATCCGAATATGCAATAAAATTTGAGGCATTCCTTTTAAAAAATCATAACTTTGATATGTAGGTCAAACTTCGGACACCCTGTATAATTGCCAATATTTTAGAAATGTGCACTCAAATGTTATGTATAACATGCCATAAATAGATTTTCCCAAAATATATTTGTTTATGAGTAATATTCCGTCCACACATGGATGGGCCACCCTGTATACTTATGGCATATATTGTCTTCCGATTGTCTACATGGAATCGTAAAGAATCAATGTATACGCTTAAACGCCCACCACAGGTCCAACTAGTAAACTATAATATCGTTGGTCATTATGCCATAAACCTTTTATTATCGCGCCTAGACATCGTTTTGATAGCAACCACGAGAACAGTAAACATTTAAGTATGCTTTAACTTCTCCTTTAGCGACGTAAATATACTTTTATATGTCTTTTATCATTGAATCTAGAGCTGGGCTCAAAATATTACTTAAGTAATTCTGAAATTAGCGTTCAACAATGAAATAAACAAAACACGCTCTAAAAGCGCAACTTTCCACCTCGTTAAGCGGCTTCGTATCTCTTACCGTTTCGAACATCCCAATGGTGAGGATCGAATTTAAACCACCTGGTATATTGAACTGATAATCTCGTTAACTTATAGGTATGTTCAACAAACTGGCAATTGTCCTTTAGACATGAGAGTAGGGATTCATACAGGAGCAGTTCTAGCTGGGGTACTAGGACAACGTCAATGGCAGTTTGACGTATACTCACAAGACGTAGAGCTGGCGAATCATATGGAAAGCAGTGGATTGCCTGGGTACGATATAAGTATATATATAAAAAGAGAAAAAGATCATGTGGAGAAAGGTATATAACAAAAAGTAGGAAAATAATGGGCAAAATCCGCAAAAAGGATGAAAGTGAATGCGAGCATAAAATAGGATAGGTAACCCGAGCGATACGTATTTCTGCTGGTTGGCCCAAAATGAATGTACATATGCAACTACAAAAGTAGATACACATGTCCACACATCCGGATACGGGTGTAACCTGAGGAAACGAAGATGTAGAGAGAAAAAATCGACACACAACGTCCACAATAACAGCCAGCCTACACATTGTAGTATAAAATGGCTAGAAGACCTCGAGTTTTCAAGGACACATCTAACCACAACCATCCATCTTCGTTTCCTCAGGTTACACCCGTATCTGGATGTGTGGACATCTACTTTTGTAGTTGCATATGTACATTCATTGCGGGCCTGATGAAGCCAACTAGCAGAAATACGTATCGCTCGGGTTATCTATCCTATTTTTTCTGCTCGAACCCACTTTCCCTCTTTTTGCGGATTTTGCCTATTATTTTCCTATTTTTTGTTATATACCTTTCTTCGCATGATCATTTTAACCACATATACATGTGGTTAAACTACAAATCGCTGCAGAAAATTATTTTCGGTTCAAAATAAAACTTTTCGAAATAATTTCTAGAGATTTTGTTTTAAAATGTTTCCTTATTATCTGCAGAAATCTATATTTCGATAAATTTTTTAGGCGAGTTCATATCTCAAACGCAACTTTGTCGTTCCTCAATGACGACTTTGAAGTTGAGAGAGCACACGGTGAAGATAGGGATGAGAATTTGAAAGCGAATGGCATTGTTACGTACTTTATAGTAAAGGTGCTAAAACCAGTAAGTTTCTAAAGAATGGCTTGATAGCGTTCTAGGTATTAATATATGTATTTTATATTCAGTTTCAGCCGAGTTGCCAAGATGTTCAAAATGGCGGTGGGATTGTACCAGAAGAGGATAGCTGTGTTATAGCAGAAATTGTATGTGATAAAGAAGATGTAAATGTATGTTATTCGTTATATCAGCATGTTTGTCAGTATTGGTGTTTTCACAGTTAAACTACAGGATGTACTTTCACATCTTCCTCACACATGCATTCGCAATCATTTTCTATGCTTGGATGTTTGTGTAAGCTTGCAAAGTTTTGCCCCACCGCCTTGAAATGAAATTTTCCCGTCAATGTATGAAACTTCCAGATTTATGTTTATCCCCGACACTATTACAACTTGATTGCCATCGGCGTGTGATTTGAGCTTACCTTTTATTTAATAATTAGCATTGGTGTGCTTGCAGATACAACTACAATGTTGACAGTCTGTGTTGAATTCATTGGGGAGTTTTCGGAAAGTGGGTAAAAACAACGGTCTTCAATCACCCGATCCATGTGTGTGTACAAGAGCAAGTAGCAGCTGGACGGTTCAAAAAAATCATAAAATAGTTAATTTTTACTCGAAAACAAATTTATTGATGGAATCAGGTTCACAAGGAAATAGCATTTGAGACAATCAAGTGTGGAAAATCACATCAGGCATGTGGTGGCCGAAATCGTTGATGCAGTGCTGGAGGCGTTCTTGGAAGTTCGCGTAGACTCTCTCCAACATCGCTCTCTCAACTTGGGCGACTTCCACGCGAATTTCGCCCTTCAATTCGTCCAGAGTTCGGGGCTTGTTCGCGTATACTCTAGCCTTGAGGTGTTCCCATAAAAAAATCGCATATGGATAAATCTGGGGACCGAGGAGGCCAATGAACATCGCCAAACCTGGAAATAAGGCGACCAGGGAAGAGAGGGCGAATAACGTCCGTGGATGCTCGGGCTGTGTGGACGGTCGCCCCATCCTGCTGGAACCACACACGTCGGATTGGAACACGTCGCCATCGTAATTCAGGGAGAAACAAGTTGGTGATCATGTCGACGTAGCGCTCTAAGTTCACGGTAACATCACGACCATTACCGTCTTCGAAGAAGTAAGGGCCAATGATACAAGTTTGCGATACAACGAACCCACCTTCTTTGGAATCATTATAACATTAGCGGTCTTCCACGCCGTTGGGAAATACTGGGTCCTTAGCATGGCATTGATTATTGCCACGAGACTTCCGGGATAGTAGCTTCAGCGCCTTATTAGTGATTCGGTCCTCTACAGGTGCTTTACGCACCGTGAGGTCTTTAAATGACGCTGAAGACTCCTCTGAGGAAAAATCACTAAGGGAGGCCCTACTGCCACTGACGCCGTTGGCCTTAAAATATCTCCTGGCGGACCTTACAATGTGAAGGTCATTATCAAGGTAATAGTTGGGAGATACTTTCCGTTGCATCAGCGAAAACCTCGACCTTTTCTTCTATCCTAAAGACTATGCCCCCAGGACCGTGAATGTGCGGAAGTTGTTCTCGCTTTCCTTTTCTGAGCGACTTTGCTTCTTTGCTCCATTGCTCATTACTAAATTCATGAAGAGCATTTCTCACTTCATGCACAAGATTCGTCGCTCTGCGAATGTCATCAGGATGAGATTATCGGTTCTTCGATTAGTATCAATGTGTTTATCTCATTGATCCTATTCATGGACCATAGCTAGACATTTTGCAAAGGCTTAGTCCAAGTCTTTTTGTAGTAATACAATATACAGGGTGTTACAGGGTATTGCCAGGAAAATTGATGTGTTGACATTTTCGTTATAGAATTATGATTCTCGATAACATATTGAAATACTGAGAAGATGAGTTTTAGTAGATGCAAATGTATCATCAAAGGACACACTCATAGGTACATATTTATGTTTACCGAAAGGCAGCATGCTACTAGTTCTTGAATCACTCCGTTCAGGTGCACCGTGCAAGTAGCTGTTTTATTAACAGTACACTAATCTGTTCATTGTTATTTAATGATAGTGTCCGAGCTGGAAGTTTGCTTAACAATAATAACAAATAAATCCAAGAGACATCTTCCAAGCAGAATCAGTTCAGCTTTGAAGAGACGACATATATTTTTGAAAATGCCAGCGGCAGACAGATCAAGGAAACAGATACAGGGTCCATGTTTAAAGACACTTTTTTTATATATCTACACTGTATAGGCTGTATGAATAATGTTGTTGCAGGAAACAATAAATCGTGCTAGACAAGACTCCGCAGATTTCAAAGTGCGATTAAGAGAAGAATTAGTCAGCAGAGATGGGCACAAGTATTACTAAATTAAGATAAAAACAAACTATTTTCTAAAATTTTATTTTCAGGGAGCTGTCAAAAAACACGAAATTCATCACATTAGCATTCACCGATCAACAAAAAGAAAAATCATATCATCGCCATATTGAAACGTCATCGAGCTTCATCCTATTGATGTTTCTTGTTGTGAGATTGGCTATTGCAGCTGCTATAGTGACTGCGTTACCTAGGTATAACATATTACAGTGAAGTAGTTCAGTGACAATGTTTCCATGATATACTATACATACAGGGTGTTCGAAAAGTTGATAACGCGCTCCTCCATCTCTGACAGAAGCAAATATGATCAAGGCAAATGTTATAAGACTTTATCTAAGCAGTCTGATGGTAACCTTGTCAATGACCTTGATACCTACCTTCAAGGTTATTTCAAGGTCATGTCTCTGACCGAAAAAAATATGATCAAGGCAAATGTCGTACAACTTTAAACAATTTAAACAATCTGATGGTAAACTTGACAATGACTTTGACCCCGTCCTTTAAGGTTATTCCATGTCTCTGACCGAAGAAAAAATGATCAACGCAAATGTTGTAAAACCTTATTTAAGCAATCTGATGGTAACCTTGACAATTACTTTGACCCACATCTTCAAGGTTATTTCACGGTCATGTCTCTGACGGAAGAAAATATGAGCAAGGCAAATGTCGTAAGACTTTATTTAAGCAATTTGATGATAACCTTGACAATGACTTTGACCCCGACCTTAAAGGTTATTTCAAGGTCATGTCTCTGACCGAAGAAACTATGATCAAGGTAAATGTTGTAAAACTTCATCTAAGCAATCTAATGTTCACCTTGACAATGACCTTGACCTCGACCGACAAGGTTATTGCAAGGTCGAATTGATTTTCTTGAATGGGATCCTATATTTTTGACCCCAGAAATAGAAAGAGGAGAATGTTCCAAGTTTGAATTTTGAGCTTGAAAGTAGTTTCAGTATTCAAATCGATTTTCTTGGATAGAACCTTACTATACTTTTGACGCCGGAAGTGAGTCAGATCTTGCTATATTTGACTTACCATTGATGCATCATGGAATCATCTGTCGCTGAACCAAAGAATTGAAATTCGCTAACTCTGTTTTATTTCAGTGATCTTACCGTAGATGTAACGTATTGTACAGAAAATATAGTATTTTTTATTATAGTTATAGTGGCTATCATAGAAGAATATCCTGGTTTGGTAAGCTAGGTACCTGTAGCTTAGGCTGAATAAATGTTATTGATTATTTTGTTCCAGATAAAATGTTGGCGTGTTCTGGAAGAATCAATGTTCGTCAGGCGTATGCTAGCTACGCTTTGTATATTAATGCTAGCTGCGATAAATCTATTAGACTCGGTAGGTCGCTTAGTAAGCGTCAAATTTTTAAATGCTAAATAACAAATAAAACTTTTACACTAGTACGGGGCGAATCCACAGTGGTTCCTTCACTTGGTACAAATATGTTCTCTTATACAGGGTGACTTCGAAGTTGAGTCATTTATTTTAACAGTGAGTAGATCTGATCAAAAGAAATGTTTTTCTCCTTTAACATTTTTCTGGTAAAATTAAAGTAACAAAGTTATAGCCCTTTAGAAGTTTGAGTACCGCACTGTCTCAATAATAATATTATGTGCTCGGTTTGGCGACAACGGATATAATCCGCCTTATCGGTTCATCGCATCGGAAACAAAAAAGCGAAAGAATTTGAAACGCTTATCACGATGTTTTTACTATAATTTTATTCAGTTGTATTCAGTCAATGTGTCAGTCGGTTACGCGTGAGTGAATAGGGGTGCTGGTTGCGTGGCTCAAACGAAATAAAAAATGCCACATGTTTAGGAAAATGCTGAACTTATGGACATGATTCTTATTTACGGGGGGGGTCTTTAGAAAATGCTGCCGCGGCATCACGGCTTATGCGGATCGGTTTCCCAATCGAGTGCAACCAACCCCTCGTGCCTTTGTTAATGTAGTACAAAGGGCTCGTGAATCAGGTGACTTAAGACCTCACAGGGGAGGGCATGCCGGTGCTCCAAGACCGCACGATCAAATACAGGTCCGCACTGAAATACTTGTCGGGAAGATACTTTATAAAACAAGGTAACATTTTTTTTATTTTTTTTTATTTTTACACACATATTTTGGTTTATCTTCCTTCTACAATCATTATCTGAAAATTAATGACTCAACTTCAAAGTCACCCTGTATATGCGGGTACCGTTCCCACCAAAAGCAGCAAACATAACACCTTATGCGCAAACATATTTACTAGAGTACGATCACTCGTACACGATCACTATACTTTTATGGGATAACTAATAATTGCTAACAACCATTGAGCGACTCAAGCTAGCTGTGACTAATGACATGTTTCAGATTTCCTGTTCTCAGTTGAGAAAGCCAACAGACAACTGCTCATCAGCAACTGACATTGACTCATCGTGTCTGTACCCGTCGTATTTCAGTTACTTTTGCGTTTTGATACTGATAGCCTCGTCTCTACCCGCATGTATTTCGTATCTATGGAAAGGGTTCTTTATGTTTCTCATCGCGGTGGCCCAATGTGTGGTTAATATTTTGGTCTTGGGTCCCACGCTGGATTGTGAAGAGTTGATGAAGCATTGGACCAGGTAAGTTGTATCGTTAAAAAATGCATACAAAAGAGACTAAACGGTATGGAGTGTTCTCAAAGTTGGGACTTACCTTTACACGGCAGAAAAATGAGCAGTTCTTTCTAGTAACATACACCGAAGTCTTAAGATAGTCGATAAGTTAGGCTTTACAAGGTAAATCAAACCTAAACGAAACCCAATCCGGTTCTACACCTCAGTCAGATCAAGCGCGAACGCGTACGATTCACACCAGTACTCAATCCAGGCGCTGACCGCGTTGGAGAACAAAACCTTTATACAACGGTTCTTAAAAAGCAAACAAAAATGGCACACTCGTACAGCAATATCGGAGTTGTCTGTATTATTTTAATGTACGGTGAGCATCTTCGAAATGCTACCGAGGCTTCGCGAGTGAATGCAGATCGTTTTTCTAGATCCTTCGTGATTTATTTTTTTGTTGCACCACACATCAGCTTTGTTATTACGAACGTAGTCGTTTCTGAAAAGGAAACTCCTAACTTTTAGAGCACTCTGTATACACCGATCGCGCGCTAGATTAAAAATTGTAGGGAAAACAAAGGTTTACAACAGTACCATAAAGAATGATATTTGAAAAATATTTACCTGCTTCGGTAACATTAAAATCGTTTTCCTCATTTCATTTTTCGGGATCCGAAAAAACATACCTGTACCTGACCCTTTTCCAAATACTAAATCGAATAAACTTATTTTTGGAATTTGTTTGAAGAAATCCAAACAATTATTGACGCATTTTTGGACCTGACAACATGCAGATTCTTTAAACGGGGCCCCTTTTCAATAAAAATATCCATAAAACTTTTTCGAATATACTTTCTTGTTATGGTGCGTACTATCCTTGAAAGGCCCTATTTTTGTGGTAACTCTTTTCATCACATTTAACGTTCCACCATCGTTTTTATGATAAAATGAAAGTCGACCTTCTGAATACATTTGCATAATTTTGATGCGTTCCTCCGCCATAAAGTGATCTATAATTTATTAAATTCCTGGGTTTATAGATGGTACATGCCATATGTTAGATGCCTAAGTGAAGTTGTTGGAAAATGGTGGAAAAATTAAACTCTGGGCGCTGAACAAAGACATTAAACGTAAACAGTGATCAGCACGTGATCAGATCCCTCGAAAGCATCCACGGATATACTCCAGTCACTTTAGGTCTAAACATCCTCGGCAATGTATTTCTAGTGAATCCACAGACCCTTTTTCGTGTCATCTTGAGACTAGAAAAAGGATGACTGTTAAAATAAGTTACCTTGATCTTTCATGAGCTCCCAGTACAAAACATCATCGATATATTTTTGATGTAGGAACAACAAATTGGTTTAGAAAACATCCACTTTGAACCTAAATTGACTGGAGTAACATCGATCTACAGACAAATTCAAGGTCACTAGCAGTCGTCGGCGCTCTACGAATCTGCACACGTTTGGACTTGTAAACGTGATTGTAGATGACACGACAGGCATCTAACAGTTAATTCACGCACAGGATTGCATTGCATACGCATTACGCATTCAGTAGCGTATACTCGTTGTTCGCGAGTGGAACGTTTTGTTTATATATTGCCTAAGATACGATGTCTGACACAGATACAGCCGACGAAGTGGTTGACATCAGCGCAACCCCACCCAAAAAAAGGGCTAAGAAGCTACATTTAAGTGCAAATGAAAAACAAATAATATTAAATATATACAAAAACCAAATTCAAGAAAAACCCGATTTGGTCGTGGACGAAGTTATATGTAAGGTAGCACATATTTCTGGAGTATGTCGGTCCAGTGTTTATAGGATCATTAAGGAATATAGGAGCACTCACTCACTTTCTGAGCCAAAACCGTATCCTGCAAGAAAAAGGATAACGGACGGAGTAGATGACTTTGACAGAACTGCCATCAGGAGGAAAGTGCATAATTTTTTCTTCCGAAATGAGATACCTACAGTAGATAAAATATTAAGATTAGTTAATGCTGATGAGGATCTTCCATCATTTAAAAGAACCACATTCCGAAAACTTTTGAAGGAACTTAATTTTCGATTCTTGAAACGGGGAAGAAACAGTATGTTAATAGAGAAAGAAGAAATTGTTGTGTGGAGAAGGGAATACCTTAGGAAGATTCGGAAGTTTCGCGATGAAAAAAGAAAAATTTACTATTTGGACGAAACGTGGGTGAATGCTGGACATACACAAGCGAAAGTTTCATCAAGGCAGGCTTTTCTAGACGGTCTTTCGGCTGGATTGAAAAATCCTGCAGGTAAGCTCCTTCATCTATCGGGCAATTTAATTTTGATAAATTCGGGCAAATAATATGCTGTGATAGCAGATAATGTGTGATATTCTCCAAAAATGGTGCATTCGCAGTGTAGTCATTAGGAAGAAAACTTCGACCCTCTTTTAAGCGTTATTTTGAAATTTATTATCATTTTTGGGTGCAGTCAATTTGCTTTGAATGGGTTTTGAGAAGTTGCAAACTTCAATTTTCTACGTTTTTCAGTTTTTGATCAGCATTCCGTGACTCTTAAATTCAGCTAAATGAACTCAATTGCCTCATTCCTTCAAATTTAATCAATCCATAGTGTAAGGAATAATTTATTTCCAGGAAAAGGCAAACGGCTGATCATTTGTCACGTAGGTAGTGAAGACGGCTTTGTTCCCGAAGCACTGTGGGCCTTTGAATCAAAAAAGACAGGGGACTATCATGAGGAGATGGACGGCAATTCCTTTGAAAATTGGTTCTCCAAAATGTTACTAAAGCTGGAGAATAACGCTGTTATTGTACTGGATAATGCCCCGTACCATTCTAGAAAAATAGAAAAAATTCCCACAATGGCAACTAAAAAAGCAAACATACAACAATGGCTGGCCTCAAAACAGATCGATTTTGATGAAACAATGGTCAAGGGTGAATTGATAAGTATAGTCAATAGACATAAATACAAATACGATTTTAAAATGATCGACGAAATGGCCAAAAAACAAAATAAAACTGTCTTGAGACTGCCACCCTACCATTGTGAGCTGAACCCTATTGAGCTGATTTGGGCCAACATAAAGCAATACGTGGCGTCGAATAATAATACTTATAAATTTTCTGATGTTAAAAATCTCTTTCACATCGCAGTCAATAGAGTTACGGCAGAGGAATGGAAAAACTGTATCCGCCACGTTCGGGAGAAGGTTGAGGTCAAAATGTGGGATTTGGACAATGTCATCGATACCCAAATTGAACCTCTAATAATTCATTTAAACGATTCAGAAGATTCAAGTTCCTCTTCTGAATGAGTGCGCGCAGCTTACTTACTAATAACTAAAAAGTGTAGTTAACTCATTTCCGAATCTCTAACTGAAATTTACTGTAAAAGATAATAATTATCTTGTATGAAATTTTTGATGACTACCCATAATATCTTGATGCGGTCCTGTAATGTCTCCTGCGCCTAAACACTCACTCACGAGCAATATGCGTGTATTTGTTTGGGTTTAGTTTATTTCTTCAGCGCCTAGAGTATAGGTTCCGAATTGTTCAATGGACAATTATATTATGATTGAATTTCATTACAAAAGATCGTTCATCTTGCGTAATAATCATGTAATCACCCTTCTTCTTTCAAAAATATTAGCACCTTATTAGGGGTATTTCCATAAAGAAAAAAAATACTCCACAACGGGCTCGATGTTATTTGTATCGCATTATCCAGCAACTAAATTATTCAATGACAAATGCCGGATATACTGTTGTTGGTATTCCCTTATTATGTGGCGTATTTATAAAAGTAGTCTTCAATGATGCTCTTATTTTAGCCTCACGCAAGGAAAATATACCCTTTCTGGACTGTTATTGACTGCAACGCTGGCCTTAGTATTTTTAGCGAGACATGTAAGTAAACTCTACAGCTTCATCAAAGACTTAGGAATCTGCTGTCTAGATTACAACACGAAACAAAACAAAAGGAAATTCTAATATTATTTTAATTTGTTTGGTAACCAATCATTCTTTAGAGCGGGGATGGTATCAGATGACGCGCAGTATTGCCGCACTTCACGTTATTGTTCTGTTAAACCTTAAGTTCCAAATTTTGAAGTACTTACTTTTTATCTCTTCAACAAAAAAAATAATAATCGTGAGTTTTTATGGGGACAATAACATAAAATCGTGGCTCTAGTGATAGCTGATATTAATGAAATCATTGATTAATATAGTTCACCTAAAGATAAAACGGTTTTTATTTTTATCTCAGAAACGATGTGAGATTCGAAAATACTACAAGTTGTATTTTTAGATGCTCACTCAAACAACAGATATTGAAGTTACAAAAAGAGCAGTGGCGTAAATTTTTTGCCAATAATGTTCACTAAGATGCCCCCCGAGGCACCGCTGCACCTAATAATTTTAATCTATTTAGGGCTTCTTAATAGAACAAATAATACTGCCAAATTTCATCAAAATCGAGGATATATTTTTTAAGATATTAAATTTTTTTTTTTCAAATTTATCACTCTCTATCTTGAAAATTCTGCATTTCCGGACCCATGTTTACAGGAACTTTTTTTCATATTTTTAAACAAGGAATCGCCCCCTAAAATATCTCCGTCTCTCTTCAGTTTATTGTTGCATAACTTTAAGATTCGATAGAACTTTTAAAATTAATGCATAAAGTCTATATAAACATGGGTCGAAAAATCCGTGGCTTCCGAAATACAGGGTGTTTAAATTTACATTTTAAATATTTCGAACAATATTTGATGTATAACAGTGAAAATTGGTATACAAGGATTTTTTGGTACGACAAAACGAACCATGGGCATAGTTTTACTGTAGCCGCTAGTGGGCGCTCTCTACTGTACTGTGTATTAAAATGACCGAAAAATTTTTCTTAGTGCAATTTTTTGCATTTTGAATAAAAAAACTGATTCTTCGCACTTTTCTGCATAAAAAAGCTCTCCTGTGAGTTTTCGTTATAGTTGGCCGTTTTTTGAGATATTTCGATTTTTAAGGTTCGATGCATTTTTAATTATTTATGGGAAAATAATATTTTTTTTCACATTTTCGATTTGGGCATTACAAGTAATTAAGATGATCGTTTAGATTGTGTTTTTAAACACAGCAATAATTCCTAATTCCAAATAAACACAAAAAAAACAGAATATTAATTTGTTTAATTTTCCAATATTAGTTTTAACAAATTAAATTAATTATTTTCAACTAAAATGCTATTGGATAGTTAGGACAAACATACAAAATCTACAGTTGTTGCTCGAAATGTAAACCCAATTGTTCAATACACAATTCACATCTACGAATGATCGAACGTGGTGTAGCATTATTTAAATAAGGCCTTATTTCATCACATGCATTCCTGATTCTGTCTATTAGCATATCTCTTGTGGTTACGGGAGTCTGGTACACTGTTTCTTTTAGAAATCCCCACACAAAGAAATCTAATGGATTTAGGTCAGGGGATCGTGGAGGCCAGGCGACTGGTCATCCACGGCCGATCCATCTTTCTGGATAATTTTCGTCCAGCCAGTTTCTAACTATTCTCGAATAATGAGCTGGACAACTATCAAGCTGGAACCAGGCCAATCTTCTTAAATCTAACATAACATCATCCCACATATTTGCTTGTTCAGCCTTTAAAAATTCCAAGAAGGTCGCAGCATTTAACCTTGCAGGCAAAAGGTAGGGTCTAAATAGTCGATTACGGTAGATACCAATCCACTCTAAATTCATGCTGAAAATTTCTTTCCCGAACTGCATGCGGATTTTCATGCGACCAAATATGTTGATTATGAAAATTTACCACTCCCTGTCTAGTGAAGCATGACTCATCGGTCCATAAAACGTTACTTAAAAACTCCCTATTATTATCAGTTCTATCAAGAATCCACTGACAAAATGTGATTATTTGCTCTCCGTCCCCTGGCTGTAGTCTTTGCACAGGTTGCAAATGGTAAGGACATCTATGGTCATTTCTAAGAACACGGTGAACATGGCTTGCTGAAATTCCCAAGGCACCAGAAACTCTCCTAACACTTGTCGTCGGATCTCTATCAAACTCACGCAGAATCATACGGGTAAATCTGCGCTGACGAACATTTATGTTTTGATCCCTTTGGAGATTTCCAAAACCATTTTCAATTATTTGGCGATGCACTCTTACAAATACTGAGCGAGTTGGATGTCGTCTGTTTGGAAATCTTCGTGCGTATTCTCTGGCTGCTTCTGCTGCGTTTCCATATACAAAGCCATACACAAAATGAATATCCGCTAAATCTTGATTGGAGAATAAAAATGGCATTTTTATAGAACTTACAAAAAAAAACAGGTAAAAGAAACTAAATTTCGTGCATTCACAATTGCAAAAAACGTTTCAGGTTTCAATAGACAACAAAACTAACTGTCAACTAATTGACGTTTAAGCTTATTCTGCTTTCAATTTCAAAAATATTTGCAGGCACAGCCTACTTCTAAGAATTATCGAGATACTGACTTGTTAACGTTATTTTATCATAAATAATTAAAAATGCATCGAACCTTAAAAATCGAAATATCCCATAAACGGCTAACTATAACGAAAATTCACAAGAGAGCTTTTTTATGTCGAAAAGTGCGAAGAATCAGTTTTTGTATTCAAAAAGCAAACAGTTGTACATTTTAATACACTACAGGTACAGTAGAGAGTGCCCTCTAGTGACTACAGTAAAACTATGCCCATGGTTCGTTTTGTCGTACCAAAAAAACCCTTGTATACCAATTTTCACAGTTATACATCAAATATTGTTCGAAATATTAAAAAAAAAACTATTTTAGAAAGTAAAGTTACACGGAAGCCACGCATTTTTCGACCCATGTTTATATAGACTTTATGCATTAATTTTAAAAGTTCTATCGAATCTTAAAGTTATGCAACAATAAACTTAAACACCCTGTAGAAAACAGAATTGCAGCCTTTATCTGGCATTACTTTTTGTACGACCAAATACAGCATTAGGTTGGCTACCTTCAGGTAGAATAGGTTGGTCAACGACTAAATGTGTTTTAGATGGAGAAAGTAACAAGAGTGTTATTCTTATGGAGATGTGAGGTGGAGCAACAAAGAGATTGCGCTGAAGAGATGAGGAGGCGGAATGAAGCCCTAGTCTATAATATTTTACCACCCCATGTGGCTACGCATTTCATGGGGAAGAACAGAAAATTTGATGAGCTTTATTCGCAAAGCTATGCTGAGGTTGGAGTTATGTTTGCTTCAATACCTAATTTCTCAGGTAAGATGGAAAGTAACATATTGAAAATATAAGAATTGTGACATTTGAATATGAATTTCAAATTTTTTCTAATTCTGAAAATATTGAGTTTTATGATTTATTTTGAAAACGTGATTCAAGAAATATGGGGATGGAGTTATGTTTGCTTCAATGCCTAATTTCTCAGGTGAAATGGGAATGTTAAATATTGAACAAAATAAGAATTTTGATATTTAAATATTCTGATCATATCGATTTAGATATTTTGAAAATTTTTTAATTCCGAAAATATTGAAATTTTTTCTTCATTATGTGTCTAAAAAATTTCAGTCTGAGGATTCCAACATCCTTTAGTGATTCAAGAAATGTGGACATTTAAAAAAATGTGTATCCTATAATTAAAAATAATGTGCTTTCAGAATTTTACTCCGAGGAATCAATCAACAACCAAGGACTCGAATGTTTGAGATTTCTCAATGAAGTGATTTCGGACTTCGATGCCGTAAGTTTCGTCTGATAATTGAATTTCCTTCCAGAACAATTTGTTCCATGTTTCAGCTTCTTGAGTTACCACAATTTCAAGATGTAATTAAGATAAAGACGATAGGGTCTACGTATATGGCGGCTAGTGGCCTAACTCCTTCTAGACAAGTTAAGGTAAGCATCAGGCGTTATGAACGATATTTTAAAATAAAGTTGTATACCGTACGAATCATTTACGCGTGAGGTTGGCCAAGGTTCAATTTGTAATACCGGGTTTACATACAGCCACTGCCGCTGCCCACTGTCCTGCTGTAAATAATTCCACGGCTGCATTTGGAGCAAGTGACTGTTTACATGCAACCATCCTTCTAAACTACCATAAACTGCTTCCGAAAAACTTTCCATTACATCAAATGCAAATCAAATGGGCTGACACACCTCTTCTGCACCCGCTCTTGCGTCTAATCGATGTTTCTTTCTTTTTTAATAGCGGCCGAAATGTTGTTATTATCGATTTTTTTTCGACTTAAGCTCTTGTATTGGGATGTTTTTCAATTCTACCATAATAATCTTTCAGCTGCATATAGTTGATATACTTTGAAGTTGAGTCATTAATTTTCAGATAATGATTGTAGAAGCAAGATAAACCAAAATATGTGTGTAAAAATAAAAAAAAATTAAAAAAAAAATGTTTGCCTTGTTTTATAAAGTATCCTCCCGACAAGTATTTCAGTGCGGACCTGTATTTGATCGTGAGGTCCCCTGTGAGGTCTTAAGTCACCTGATTCACGAGCCCGTTGTACTACATTAACAAAGGCACGAGGGGTTGGTTGCACTCGATTGGGAAACCGATCCGCATAAACATGTGCCATTTTTATTTCGTTTGAGCCACGCAACAGACACTATTCACACGCGTTACCGACTGACACTGACTGTATGTATAACTGAACTGAATAAAATAATTGTAAAAACGTTGTTCCAAATTCTTTCGCTTTTTTGTTTCCGATGCGATGAACCGATAAGGCGGATTATATCCGTTGTTGCCAAACACGAGCACATGATATTATTATTGAGACAGGGCGGTACTCAAACTTCCAAAGGGCTATAACTTTGTTACTTTAATTTTACCAGAAAAATGGCAAAGGAAAAAAACATTTCTTTTGATCAGATCTACTCACTGTTAAAATAAATGACTCAACTTCGAAGTCACCCTGTATATATATATATACTTGATCATTGATCCACTCAATCATGGTCCAAGTGCATTTTAAAACGAATAATTTGCCAAAAAAAGGAATAAACTAGGTTAAGATACCCCGCGTCCACGTTGTAAGGCAGGAGTGACTGTGGTCGTGATGCTGGTCCTTTGACTGCCGTCCAAAAAACCGCGAACGAAGGGAGCATGCGGCAGCGGCAGCGGCATAAGCAAGGGCAATGCGAGCTGCGTATTTACAAACTCGCGCTGCCCAATTCCCTGCTCACTGCCGTGGAAGTGGGCTGCATGTAAGCCCGGTATAAGAGGTCTGTAAATTAAGTAACGAGGCTGACAACGTATCGTTCGATCTGGCAACACTGGAAGGGCCGAGCTTGGAGGAGAGACAGGGGAACATGCGATTCGCCGTCAGTACAAGTTTGAACTTGCTCGAGTCATTTCATCCGTAGCGATTTATTTTCTGTAACGGTTCTTCTATTGTGTTCTAAAGACATTCCAGACTTGAGTCCTGGTGCCTTTTTTCTTCCCGAAGTTGAAAAATCACCTGAAGGGACATCCGAAAATATTCAAACGGCTGTAAGTGATCAGTTGAAACCTATTCCAGTTATAGGCGGAGTTAAGCGGGGGCATGGGCATCGCTAAGCGTGAAGAAAAAAAATTGCTACCCCGCGTTACGCTTCTCTCGCGGCGCCCGACGTTTCGGTTCAGTTTGCACCCACCCTAAAGTGCTGGGATGCTTTGCGCATGTCACTCTATCTGGTTGCTGCCGGTGAATGAGAAGAGAACGAATCAAAGTCAAGGTCCACATGAACAGCCGCGCAGGCAGAAGCCTAAATGTTGGAACACCGCGACTGATATGATAATCCCAAAGAAATTTTTTGAACCTTCTAGGGTTAATAGAACTGGGAAAAGCTTCATCTTGTAGGTTGTTCCACAATCTCGACACCCTTGCGACAAAGGAGCGGTCGTATCGGCCAGTTCTGGATGTACGACGTTCGACACGGTTGGGATGGGACGCCAAAGTCAGGCGGGTCTGTCTGGCAGGCACATAGCGCGGCGGCATCGTGGAAGAGAACTTTGAGGAGCAAAGCCGGTTAGAGACGAATCATCGATCAGTCGGACCGCCCTCCTCTGGACAGCATCGAGCATGGAAAATGCAGTCGTGGCGGCAGCACCACCGTGTGGGCAATACTCGAGGCTAGGCCTTATCTGGGCCTTTTATAGAGTGAGAAGGTCATGCGGAGAAAAGTACTTCTTAGCCCTAAACAAATAGAGGAACGGTGTAGAAGCCAATACCGGTCCCTGGGGAACACCCGCGTTGACGTTCTGGGATGAAGAGGAGAACCCGTCAATTACGACGGATATCTTACGGCCAGAGATAAAGTCGGACACCCATCTGCAAAGCTTTTCTGGGAGGCCATAGGATGGAAGTTTGCTTAAGAGGGCAGCGTGCCACGTCTGATCGAACGCATTCGTGATGTCAAGAGCAACGACATGAGCCTCACCATAAGAATGGATGAGTTTACTTCACAATTGCGTGACGTAAGCTAGGAGGTCCTCTGTGGATCTTTGGTGCCGGAAACCATACTGCATGTCGCTAATCAAGCTGTGACGTTCGAGGTAGTCCAGAATTTCGCGATGTATGCACCTCTCCATCACCTTACTTATAACAGAAAGCAGAGCTATAGGCCTGTAGTTGTAAGGGTCGGTCTTAGATCCTTTTTTTGGGATGGGTTGGACATTTCCAGTTTTCTTGGAACTCCACAAGCTGAGTGCGACAAGATGGTCTTGTAGAGCTATGGCTTTCCAATCGTCCAAATTATAACATGTACAGCGAGACCGCAAATAGTGAGAAAAGTGAATATTTTCAATGAAAAGTGAGAAAAAGTGAGATGGATCGCAAAAGTGAGAAAAAAGTGGAAAAATTTAGTCGCCGGCATCCGTGCATCGCACGCCCATGCTGACGCGGCGCCATATTCAAAGAGATGTCTCGTTAGCATGGGCGTGCAATATATGGGGTTTTCCAAAATGGACGCAGGAAAGTAAACGCATATTAAAACAAGAAAGATTGATATTCAAATCAAGCTGGGTACTTTATTTTGAAGGTCCATTTATACCATTTATGTATGAAAAATAATATCGCTCAAATGTTCACCACGACTGGATTTACAGACGTCCACGCGATGGTCGAAATTTTCAATGACATTTTGCAACATGGTCGGTTCTATGGCATTTATCCCGGCAATGATGTTGTTTTTGAGTTCTCGGAGGGTGGCTGGTTTGTTGACGTAGACTTTGCTTTTCAAATATCCCCATAAAAAGCAAGAGAGTCAAATCGCACGATCTTGGTGGCCAAGGCACATTTCCTCTGCGCGAAATCACGCGATCACCGAATAAGGACTGCAATCGATGGATATTGACGTTGGTTGTGTGGCATGTTGCCCCGTCTTGTTGGAAATAAACATCGTCCATATCCATTCCTTCAAATTGCGGCAAAAAATAGTCCTCTATCATCACGTGATATCGCTCAGAATTGACGGTAACGGCGTCCCCGGCCGCATTTTCGAAAAAGTAAGGTCCGATGATGCCTTTTGACCACAATGCACACCACACAGTCACTTTTTGAGGATGCATCGGCTGCTCTTGATACTCACGGGGATTTTCGTTCGCCCAGATGCGGCAGTTTTGCTTGTTTACCGTCCCATTCAAAGTGAAATGCGCTTCGTCGCTGAACATGATTTTTGCTGAAAAATTAGCATCAATTTGGCGGTGTTCAAGGAGCCAATCTGAGAACGTTCGGCGCGAAAAATGGTCGGCCCACCGCAGCTCTTGCGTCAATTGGATCTTGTAGGCGTGTACATTCAAATCCTTGTGGAGAAACTGGTTCTCGAAATGCCCAATTCTTGGGATCGACGCGTTGTTGATTGTTTCGGATCGTCTCTCACACTCTCCTTCACAACAGCAATATTTTCCGGTGTGCGAACGCTCCTTGGCCGGCCAGAGCCTGGCAGATTTGCCACAGAACCTGTTGCCTCGAATTTACGCACTAGACGACCGATGGTTGTTTCGTTTGGGCGGTTGTTGCGACCGAAATGTTCACGAAGCGCGCGAAACGTGTTTTTTTATTTTTGCACCATTTTTGTAGTGCTCTTGAATAACTTTAATGCGGTCTTCAATCGAATACGACTCCATAGCGATCAATGGTAAACAGTCAACTAACAGAATGACATGTCGGTGACAGAAAACAAAGATGGCGTCTATGTCAAATTGGCGTTTACTTTCCTGCGTCCCTCCAACTTTATTTTGCTATCTTTCTTTCCGGTACTTGAGCATACACAAAATTGCCAGGATGATGAATTTAACTTTTGAAGATTGGGTGATTGAGAGAAGGACAATCATGATTTTTTTTTTATGGAAATATAATTTTCACTATAGCCACCGTTTACGTCTTGCCTTGATATCTACATTCCATCCAAGTACGATGATACGCAAAGTTATAAAAGTTCTTGTAATCTTTTTAGCCTGAAGATCCTATCAATGTCCGATGGATGCATTTAGCCCTTTTAGTAGAATTCGCTCTAGAACTGAAGAAGGCCCTGCAAAGCATTAACGAACAATCTTTCAATCACTTCGAATTGAAGTTCGGCATCAACCATGGCCCGATCACGGCGGGCGTAATAGGAGCTAGCAAACCGCATTATGACATCTGGGGAAATACGGTTAATGTGGCTTCCAGGATGGAAAGCACTGGAAAAACTGGTTGCATACAGGTAATATAATATATATATAATAATATATATTGAGAAAAACAAATATCAGGAAATGCGAAAAATAAAGGTGACACTGCCATTGGCGATACTACCGACCCTTACGGAGCAGCTCCAGAGTTTTGTGTGCCCTGAGGCATACATTATGCGTCAAACACCAATATTAGGGAATTATTCAACAACTCTACACTAATAGGACCAGGTATTATTCTGACGACTCTGCCTGCTAGTGTGATGTAAAAATACATTTATTGATTTCATGGTTGGACATGACCTTAGACGTCGCTGAAAGCTATCAGCTCATCAATTCTAATAATTCATTCACAACATACCTTGTACCTAACTAGCACAAACCGCCGCAAGAAGCTTGAAAACGAAAATCAAATGGTGAAATGAGAATCAAAATCAAATGGCCAAAACCATCTAAAACACAACCATCAACTTGAAAAGTGAGGTTGATATCTGTAAGGAACGTCAAAGTTGTTAAAAATGTCTAATAAAGACTTGGGAAGAATTCCTCCCTAATAAGAGACAGCCACCATTTGCATTAGTGGCGGCCTTAATAGTGATACAAACTGCGCATGCCTATATGTTAACAGTGTAAAGATATTGCCTGCTACTAATAGTGCCTAGCTGTATAAGCTTTTCAATAATTTCCTGTTTTTTTTTCAATTCTGTGCCCTGCATTACACTGCACCCTAATGCCGGTCCTGCGTACGATAGCAGGAATGACAGAGACCGCTTCTAAGAAGTTGAGCAGGGGTGTAGACCATGCTGCCAGAGCTGCTTTCCAGTGATTTTTAATTGAGAGTTGTTTGCGGGAACGCGACGATAGAAACCTAACCTGTTTGTTGATGTTTTGCTGTGACGTGGACAATCTGTATCACACTGCCAAACAATGAAAATATAAACACATTTTGCAATTATTTTCAGAAGCACTATCAGACTATTGATGCCTGAAGATGCTTTCAGAATGATGGCGCAACACTTCAGAGGACTGCATTTTTATTGTAAAGCTTCTGGATGTGTCGAATTCATATTTTAGTGTAGACATTCAAAATTATTTTCAAGGTGTCTAGAAGCCAACTACAAGCTGATATGAACCTGCATTCTAGCATTCTCTTGTGATATTTATTATTCAGGAACATCTCAAATATGTATGTTGCTACTCTGGGTCATAACATTTGAAGTTTTTTACCATTTTTCATTCTCTGGTATCGGTTTAATGTGACTTTATTGGAATAAACAAAGACGATGAAAAACATAATCTAACAATCTTGACACGTTGACATTTCCGTTATCCCCACTATTTCGGAGCCTTAAACATCCAATAAACAGCTGCCGCATGAGGGGGCAGGGGATTTCAAACATGATTAGCTCAGATGCATAACACTTTAGAGCACTGGAACGGTATTGACAGGTGGCGGGTAGCTCTGGGTTACTCCGAGTAACACAAATGAGGCACTGGAAAGCGGCTCAGCCGTGACGAATTACGCAAAAGTTTCATAAACTAAGCACAGACTGGATATGATTTTTTGTTTTGGTCTCTGCGACTATGGCAGTGACCTTTATCACTTTGTTTGCTTTCCGTCATCTGTCTCAAATTAAATAGAACTATAACGGACTGATGATTGCTAAAAAGCATGAAACAACGTTGTTTATAATCTGCCTCAAAACACATCACGGATTTCGTACTCGTCCAGAACGAGTGGAGTCTCCATAAGGAGAAGAGCCTAATTGTCGAATATTTTTTACAGGTGACGCAAGAAACAATGGAGATACTGAATCATTTTGGTTACCAATTTGAGCAACGAGGTATGGTGACAGTAAAGGGCAAAGGGCAACTGATGACGTATTATCTTGTGGGAAAAGCTACTAAAACCACACCTCCTACTGCTCCCGTATCTCCCATTATAGGTAAAGTAAAATTTCAATCCATGAGGTGGCGGAAGAGGTAAAACTAGAAATGACTAAGGAATCATAGATGCACAGTGGTTTTCAGGAACTTTACCACCAGATACGTGCCTTTACCCCTCCCAAAGAAGGAGAGAATACATTGTTTTTGACTTAAAATAAATGTGCATTCTGTTCTTAAACTGCTGTTTACTGCTTTCCTTCTTAATTACTTTATAATAGGTGCTAACGGCTTGACAATACCTCCTGAAAGTAGGCAACCTACACTACTTTTCATATATCCCCATTTGTAGCCGTTATAGGATTCAACCTCACATATTCATTATTGGCTTCTGATCACCATCTAAGAAAATGCAAATTGTTCCATACTTTGAATTAGTTTTGGAACTGTGAGAACCAAAACTATAACTGACAGTTAACATTTTCTTGCTTCCAGGATCAAATGGGATGGAGACGTTGAATGAAGAGGATGAATCTCACGATAGCCCGACGTCAAAATCCGAAGACAAAACGGTGATAGAATGTTCTGACAGAATGGACGACGATGTGTTCACGTCAGAGCCTGAAATGTCATCAGAACAGACACTCATCACAAAAGGAGTAGAACTGAAAGACTCAACCGAGAATACCTTATTGCTTAGTGATACGTAGGAGTCGTTCATGTAGCCTAAATGTTTCTAACATAGAGTCCTCATTTTGTAATGCTTCTGATCCAAGAATTGCACAAGGCTTTCAGGTTGACCACGGAATTGTATGGGGTATTTACTTTATTTTTGATCACTGTAAGTGTATCTTGTACTACTTGGTGAAACGGTAAGAATAATGATTATATGTATATGTATTACAAAACTAATTGATTTTACAGACGCATCATTTAATAAAGAAGAATAATATGTAGTACTCGTATATACTCGGCAAAAATTTGAGTTGACTATATTCCTCCTCAATTTATGAAGAGACGCGCGATTCCGATGATTTTTAGCGCATAAAGGTTTCAAAACTGATGTTTTTGAAGCTCCTTACTGCAACAACTGGCGAACTCCTTCGAATGCATCAAGGCATTTTTTGATGAGTTATTTCCATTTCAGACCCAAGTAGCGTAAACTGATATCTGATAGCCCCATAGGAAATAGCCAAGAAGGCTTAAGTCCGGGGATCAAGCAGACCATATGGAAGATATTCCTCTACGTTTGTAAAGATCATCGGGTGCTTCTGTTAAAAAATACAATGTAAATGTCACTGGTGTATTTGGAACAGCTCGTATTTCCTCAGGAAACCTGCACCGTTGTGCCATATTATCGATTAACATTATTATAACTGAAGACAGAGACAGAGAGTAAAATGCGATCTATGAGAATTTGCTATATGAGCATCTACAGATATCCAGGTGACTCTAGCGCCATCTATGAGGCACTGGACTTTTCAAAGTATATAGAGGGTTCAAAAAATAGACGGAGATATTTTAGATGATTCCTTGTTAAAGAACATGAAAAAGAGTTTCTATAAACATGGGTAAAAAAAGTATCAATATATTAAAAAATACTTATTATATTATTATTATTCACTCGATTCTGTTAAAGTTTGGCAATATTATCTGTTGTGTTAAGAGGCTGGTTTAGCCATAAATAGATTAACATTATTAGGTCCAGTGGCGTTCTAGGTTGCATCTTAGCGAATATTATTGGCAAAAAAAATGTACGCCTTTTTTGTAACTTTATTATTTGTTGTTTGATTAAGCATCTAAAAATACGACTTCTTTGCCTCTTATATTTTTTCATATATCACTTCTTATTCAAAAAAAAAAAATTCGTTTCATTGCATGTTAAATTGGTTTATTATTTTTTTAAGTGACCTGGAAAACAAAAATTAAAAAAATAACTTTCGTGTAACTATTTTTCAAGATATTAATAATTTTTTTTAATTTATCACCTGTAACTTGAAAACTCTGCATTTCCGGACGCATATTTTTAACAAGTAATCATCCTCTAAAATATCGCCGTCTATTTTTCGAACACCCTGTTTATAGTAAATAGAGAAACAGATGTGACAAGATCTCATAGATAACGTAACGGTATCTCATTTTATCTCGGAAAACTTTTTGGACGCGCGAATGTGGCAATAGGTTGGCTATTTTCAGGTTGAATATCATAATCGGTACTGTTGCGTCTTGTAGAACTTCCGATTTCACTGTTTTTTCACTTGAAACTTATAGAGTTTAGTCTGATAGATTATTTTAAATCATAAAAAGTGTGGATGAACCACGCTTTTCATGAATTTTTCCCCAAAACACTGTATTTCTTAGCAGTTATTTCCCCCATTATTTCCACCGCCATCTACCATATGACGTTGACGTCTGTGGATATGTCATATAGGAGAGGCGCTTGCCTGCGGTATTGCCGGATTGGGCTCCGTATTTAGGGAAAAATATGAAAAATGGAAAATTTATATACATTTGTATTAATTAATGAAACACAAAAAACTGAAACAAACAGCAGTAGTAAAATTAAAAGTGATTCTTACTAAGTATAAAACAAAAAATAACAAACAACAGTAAAATAAAAAGCAATTCCATTTAATTATAAAAAACATAAAATAACAAACATTAAAATAAAAAGCAATTTGGATGGAATGAAATTGTTCGTTTTACTACTGTTTTTAATTTTTGTTTTGTGTTGTCACTTAGAATTGCCTTTTATTCAACACGGAATTGTATTACTACTGTTTTTATTTTTTGTTTTTTATAATCACATAGAATTAGTTTTTATTTCACTACTGTTTTCAATTTTTGTTTTTTATAATAATTTATAATTTATCATTTTTTAACTTACTACTGTTATTTTTTGATTTATACTTATTTGGAATCGCCTTTTCTTTTTCTGCTGTTGTTTGTTTCAGTTTTTCGTTTTTGTGATTCATTAATAATTAATACATGTATATAAATTTTCAACTTTTCATATTTTTCCCTAAATGCGGAGCCCAATCCGGCAACACCGCGACCGCAGGCAAGCGCCTCTCATATATGACATATGCACAGACGTCTACGTCATATGCCAGATAGATGGCGGTGGAAATAATGATGGAAAGGACAGCTAAAAATACAGTGTTTTGGGAAAAAAATATCATGAAAAGCGTACTTCATGCACACTTCTTTTGTTTCTAAATAATCTATGAGACTACCCTCTGAAAGTTTTAAGAGAAAAAACAGTGAAATAGGAAGTTCTACAAGACGCAACAGCACCGCCTAAGAATAGTCCAAACAAATATCCTTTGAATTTGTATTCTATGTTTTATGAGCACCATGTATTAATGTTTCATCAATGTAACAAATTATCGTATTAGTCCTATGTTGCAAAAAAATTTAGTCAACCATACCATGCTTCATCAATCAACCTCTAGTAAAATTCATGGATAATATAAAAATACTCAAAATTCAACCTACTCAAAGCTTCTGATCAATTCATTCAGTATTCACATCTTTATCCATATGGATAAGAAACATAGCCTGTACGAGAATTACGACATTATTAATTTATCTTCAATCTCCTTCCTAGTGAGTGAAAACTTAAATTCTGCGGGCCAACATAACCTATAATACCACCACCAATTGCTATGATTATATTCAAACTTTGAATACAAATATTCCCTTCACATTACGAAAAATCAATTGATGACTTACCTAAAACTACTCGCCAAAGTCATTATACTTTTCACACAAATTCACTCGTACAGATTCAGAGATCCCGATACCAAAAACTAAATTGGAAATTACTGGATCAAAGTTAACGTTCGCGTCGGGGAATCCTTGTTAACACAGGTGGCTAGATCGGACAAGCCAGCGGTAACTATAGCAACCGCAAAAGAACAATTGAACGGGAGCGAGTTGCAAGGAAATTCGTCGAAAATCGTCCAGCTATCTGCCGCCGTAGTTCACCTAAAAGAATATGTTAATCATTAACAGGTTGCATTTTGTTTTCAACTTCAATTATTCTAACTTTGGAGCGTCAATTGGAGAAAAACATGATTTATTTACGCCTAATGCATACTTTTTTTTAAATGACCATGCCTTAATTTCCATTGTCTGAGTATTCTCTTGAGCACGGGCGTAGTAAAACATATTTCTTACGGGTTCAAAACTTGACACAATTCTCTGTGTACATCTAAGCTTTACTTTAAACGCATCCCATACTCTCAATTTCGATTACTTGAAACTGTAAATATGATATAGAGGAATATATACAATTAATGCATTATAGTGAGAAAGTAAAGTACTGATTTTTCTAGTCATTTGTAGTGATTTTATATTACTATCCTCCATGAAAATGTTTTCGTAGGAAAAAAAATAGAACCACCGAACAATCTTTCACGTTCTAAAATGCTGTCGATTAAGACGCAAAGTGTTGAGGTGGCTGTAAAATGTAAATTGATGTCCTTTATGTAGTAATTGTAGTACAGTTTCTAGGGCCAAAGACAATATAGTTTAAAGCTGCTAAGTAATGTAGTATGATGATGTTCTGTCATTCAAAGACTTGTTGGATCTGAAATAATATATTATTTGTCTTTGAACTCTTTTCAGGATATGTAGGACCGCTGATTAACGTATCCTACCTGAAGATAATCAACCCAATATCCCAATACTGTATCCCGGAGATCTGAAAGATCCTAGCGCCATCTATGAGACAATAGCGGAACATTAAAATTAAATTAGAAATCTAGTTTGGAAACATAGAGTGTTTGCTTCTGCTACTGTCTCATTGGATATGAATTACTTTTTGGCCCTTTCTTATGTCTAAAGGTACGCGATTAAAATAAGCATCAGAAAGGCACTACAAAGTGATTGTACAACCTGGCCTGGCGCAATGTGAACCATTTTTAGGTAGGATATATTAATCAATCCTTAGGGGATATATTTTATTAGTAACATTTCTGAAAGTTCCATATTCTATACAAGCCTTTGAAAAAATAAGTAATAACGATTTTAATTCAAAATTTGATTTGAATACATGCTTATGAATGCTATACAATCAGCAGAACATATGAGATATGAAAATAATTATAAGATGTATAGATTATCTATTTTTATCTATAGGAACTAAAAATCGTCTAAGTTTGTAAATACTCACATCATATTCCACCTCGATCATAATTTTTAGGCATCCATGCTTTCGTATCATAACAACAAAATTGCTTCTCCCAATTGGAGATCGACCGATATGGAATTTTTGAGCATTCCGATATTTTAAAGGCCGATATATCGACATTATCGTCTAACCGGCTACTTTTTTTTTCTGATCATAACGGAGGGCGGTTACATTGAACCACCCCTTACATCAGTGGAATTTAATAGTATTTACCGAATTCCAAACCCTCTCTGCTTCCATTTTCCCTTTAACAGCCATGGAAACCCTGTAAGGTTAAATACTTGAAATGTGAAACATTTTGATAAAATCCGACTTCCTAAAACTACTCACAGTCACAAAATTTCCTGTTAGGCTTCTTGTCTGATGCAAGCAACCTCACTTTCATGAAACACGATTTTTAAATGTGGGACCTTCTTTACTTGGTTTCTTTTAGGGACATTCAGTTTCAAACTGTATTAAGATATTAAGAGTTCCACAAAAATCAAACAATAATGAGGTTATATTGATCGAATCAATCAAATTTAATACTGCTACACCAATTTATAACACGTACAACTAATTTATAACAAATGTTTTTACTCTAACGACTAAACTATGGTCTCATCTGAATTCCGCATTCGTCGTTTACTGGCTTGACTGTGTCTCAGCTGTCATTGCCTCATTCCGCCATCTGGCTTATTTATATCCCTATGGACGAGTAGAGAAACATTCCACCGTTTTCCAGGTCAAGTCGTCTAGATGGCAGCAGATTCATCTTCAGACGTATCGAAAACTCGCGATGACGTCGCGAACGCAAGCACGCTCCATACGCGGTCGCGTAACTCTGGTTGCCTAGCGTCGACATCGTGAGGCCAATCCACGCCACGCAACGTCCTCGCTATACGAGGGCCTTACAATATGTATTCAAGCTTCATTATCTTTGTGATTCGTATCGGTCGATCCCTACTCTTGAATTAATTCGAATGCATTTTGCTAAAGGGGTCAAAGTATGTCAGCTTTTGTCAATACGCATTGCTTTTTGTTGCTTACGTACGCCTCAACATATTTTGTTCCAATAATCAAACGTATCATTGTTAAATATCATCTTTCACATATCGCTGGCCTAAAGTTCAAAGCAAATCGAAACATGTTAGCCATTGTAAAATACCAATAATTTAAAAATA